ACTCCCACTCCTCGATCGCGCAGACGCCTGCCTGCTCGATCGCGCAGCCTGCTCCTGAGGAAATCAGAAAAGCGCCTATACCAGGCCACGGCCTTCTTCAGTCGGCACCAGGACGAGAAGTAACTGAGCAGCCTCTCAGTCGCGGACGGCTGCTCGCGACCCGACACTGCAGACGACTCAGGAACCTCAGCGACCGCTGCAACAGTCACGACAGGTGAGGGATGCTTAACCTCCGGGTCTTCAGAATCATCTAACCGAACCGGCTCACACGGCCAGCTCTCCTCATCCGCTGAAAGAAAGTCCGGCCCCTTCAACCACGTCCCCAAGTCCTCCGGCGCAGATCCACGCGATCCAACATCCGCCGGGTTGGCAGCTGACGGTACGTATCTCCAGTCCTGCACGTCAGACTTACCGTGAATGATCTCTACTCTGTTCGCCACGAACGTTTTGTACCGCGACGATCTGTTGCGAATGTACTGGAGTACGACCATGCTGTCCGTCCACAGGAAAGTTCTGTCGAACTCCAAACCAGTCTCCCTCTCCAGCAACTGCTTCAACCTTACTGCGACCACTGCAGCTGCCAACTCCAATCGAGGGATGGTCACAAAACGAACTGGATTTACCAAGGCCTTACCCATCAGGAAGCGGACGGTACTCGTACTGCTGCCGTCCTCTGCACGCGTCTCTGCTCGAAGAAACGCCACCGCCGAATGGCCGACCTCACTGGCGTCTGAGAAGACATGCAGCTGACGACTGACAACCTCGCCACCAGCTGTCTGGATGCTCCTGTTCAAAGAGACCATGTCAAGACGGTTCGCCTGCTCCAACCACGCAGACCACTCCTCAGCCAAGGGTGATGGGATGACGTCATCCCATCCACAGGACATAGTACACAACCTCTGCACCAAAAGCTTGCCCCTCAGAGTGACAGGACCAACTATTCCTAAGGGGTCGAACAAAGCACTGACGGTCGACAGGATGCCCCTCCTGGTCGCCGGTTTCTCTCTGTCAACGAAAAGAAAACGAAAAGTGTCGTCAGTCACGGACCAGCGCATGCCTAGCGCTCTCTCTGGCTGCTTAAGCCCTTCTACTTGGAGGTCCAAATCTTTAACGTTTGCGCCCCTGTCCTCACGTGGGATGCTTTGCAGGAACGCAGCGCTGTGACTGGCGAACTTACACATGTTAAATCTGCCCTCACTGCACAGCTGCTTCAAGTCACAAGCCAAGTGGATCGCCGAGTCTACCGACGACGCAGACACCAGAGCATCATCTACATAGACATTTTCATCGACGATTCTAGATGCCTCCGGATACCTGTCCCTACCTTCCTCGGCACACTGCCGCAGGGCGAAACTGGCAACGCTCGGGGACGACACCGCGCCGAAAATGTGCGACCTCATTCGGCAGACCATCGCCTCAGCGCCGACATCGTTGTCTTTGAACCACAGGAAGCGGAGCATGTTAGCGTCCGCTGCCGGCACTCGAACCCTGTGGAACATGGATTCCACGTCACACGTGAATGCCACTGGATTCTCGCGAAAGCGCAGCAGCACTCCAACAAGAGTGTTAGTCAAGTTTGGACCCTTGATGAGCAGATCGTTCAGGCAGACGTTCTCAGTCTTTGCAGAGCAATCGAAAACTACTCTTAGCTTCCGCTTTTCCGGATGCCTTACGCCGTGATGGGGCAAGTACCAAGTCCGATCCTCGGTCTCACCCTCTGAGTCCGGGACCCTCTCTGCGTACCCTTCGTCGAACAGCCTCTGAACTACTGCGACATATTCATCACGGAGACTGCTATCGTGAGACAGACGCCGTCTCAGGCACTCCAGACGCCTCCTCGCAGCAAAGTAACTGTCTGGTAAGTCACCAATATCGCGAAGAGGGAGCCCAATCTCAAAGTGCCCGGATTCATCCTTCCTCATGTTTGACCTAACCATAGTCAACCACTCCTTGTCCTCTACCGACAAACCCTCAGTATCATCTGACATATCCTTGAAGTCTTGGTCGTACAACTGATGAAACAAATCAAGCTCAGGTATCTTACCGTGCGTGTTCGAGCGTGACACCGTGATCCTGTTCACGGAGTGCCGGCTCGGAGACCTCCTGGAGGACCGACTGGAGACTCCGATGACGTACCAGCCCAAGCACGTGCGCACCGCGCACGGTCCCTCGCCCTCAGGCCTCCTCACCTCCTCCGGCGTCAGTAGCTGCGGACAATTCGCCCCAATCAGCAGACCTACTTCACACGGTTCAACATCAATCTCGCTCAGAGTCACACCGGACAGATGCGGCCACCTCCTCAGTTCCGCTCTGTCACACACGTCATCACTGGAAACGGGAATACGGCCAATAGTGAACACTGGCGGCAGTGAGAACAAACGCTTCCCTTCCAGAGGACCAACTCTGATGTTCTCAATCACCGAAGTGGAAATCTCGTTCCCTGGTCCACACACTGTGTCTACAGAAATGGTAGTAGATTTACAAGGACTGCCAAGCCGCTCTGCCAGACCTTCGCTCATAAACGTCCCTGAGCTACCACTGTCGCAGAAGGCATATGTATGCAAGACCTCTCCTGTGGGTGACACGACTCTTACCGGTATCACGGGCATCATCGTACCTGACCTCTGTCCAGAATCGGAGGTCACCCCTCCACTGCTGACCCGTACTGGGGTGGTCACAGGACTGGATTCTGTCTGCTCACTCTTGGGAGCTTCACTCTGTCTGTGAAGGAGAGTAGCATGGAGATTGCCACAGATACCACACTTCCTACGCCTCCTACAGAACTTAGCCACGTGACCCCCTCGCAGACACCCAAAACACAGCCTCTGCGCCTGAATGAACTGCTTCCTTTCCTCAAGAGCTCTGTATCTCAACTCCTGACAGTCATCCAAAAAATGGTCACCCTGACAGAACAGACATTTTTCCCTATTTTGCTTTACAGCTGTTGCACTACACTGTGCCTGTGTGCGACCCAAGTTGTGCTGTGTCTTAGATCTCTGTGGCACCTGTCTGTCCCCTATCGGAGCCCCAAATACTGGGTTTCTCTTGACCCGTACTTCCTTGGAAAGGAAGTCTACTAAGTCCTTGAAACGAACCATCCTCCCATTTTCCTCCATGATCTCGTCACTTACCCTCATCCACCTGTCCTTCAGGTAGGCTGGTAGCTTATCCACCACCTCCCTCAGTGTGCGTGGATGCTCCAGTTCTCCAACAATGTCCAAGTCCGTCATGGCATGCTTTATCTCGATCAGGTACAGGGTGAACCTGTCAAGTTCCTCTACATCTCCTGGGGAAATCCTACTCCAGTTGTTGAGTCTTTGGATGTACGCATCTACCACCTTGTGAGAGCTACCATACCTTTCATCCAGCAGCCGACGAGCCTCTGCATACCCTACATCCCTCAAATACATGCAGCTCCTCACAATCTGCTTAGGCTTTCCTACAGTGAGCTGCTCAAGATAGTGGAGAAGCTCATCCTCATCAGTGGTACGTGAAGCGATCCTAGCTTCAAAAGACCTGATAAACAGTTTATATTTCATGACGTTGCCATCAAACTTCTCGATCTCTGTGGGGGGCAGCAACATTCTCTGCATCTGAGACCCGAGTAGGGAGGACTCATGTGAGCCTGCTGACTGACCCTGACCCTCAGAAGGCCCTACGGGAATCCGCAGTGAATCGACCAGCTCTTGACTCACCTGCTCTCTGGGCAGCTCAGCAAGCTTAAGCTCTATATCCAGCTGCTGCCTTCTCATCTTAATTCTAAGCTCCTGCTCCTCCAACTGCTCTATCTCCTTCAGTGCCCTTAACTTAGCAATAAGTGACTGAGACGTCTCCGAGCCTGCCCCAGAATCTACAGTAACATCTGCTTGTGCTGCCATTCCGACCTGCTCCTGAGTTACATCACCCTTCACAAGCACCTTGCTCTGCTCAGTACCAACATGTCTGGGATCAGCAGATCTGACAGCTTCCCACAACCTATCTACTAACTCGGCCTTTTTACCAGACGTCTCTAAGCCTCTAGAGCTCAGCTCATCCACCAACTCAGATAACTTTAACTTAGCAAGGTCCTCCCTGGTTGGTGCCATCTTAACCACCTAACTTAATAGTCAAACATCTACGCTAACAGTACACAGTAGCACTTACAACACACAATACATACACATACAATACACTTTACAGCAACACAATGCACCGAAGCCCCAAACTATGTTCAGATGCCCCAAAGCCCCTGGATGAAGCTCCCTGAAGCCATCTGTTTCGCAGCTTTCCCAGAAATGGCTCAAACACTAGAGTCCACCAAACCAAAAATTTCACCAAGACTACTTCACAACCAACAGTGATGCCTGCAACTGACGAACCATCAATTGCTTACCAAGAACCAAACTCATTCACTGATTCAAAGCTTTGCTGACCATCAGGATCACCAACGTCAGCACACAGACATGGGCTCACTGAGCAGTGAGCACCAAGCCAAAAAACACCCTCGTCCAAACAGGAAGAGTGAGTTGGCTCAAGTCCAAGTCCTCCAAGTTCAAGGTCAACTGCCCACGAGCAGTAGGTACCCACTCACAAGTCCAAACCCACAAGGTGAGTTACCTCGCCAAGCCAAAACCCAAGGCGCCAAACCAAATGAGACCCAGATCAGGGACCCAGATCACTTACCGACTCTGCGCACAAGTTTGCTCGCAGACACTCAGCATGTTGAAACGCGCAGACTGCTGAGGCTCAGCAATCAGCAGCCCACACGTGCCGAGTTGCAGGCTGAAGCCAGCCAGTAGATCCTGCAGACTGTAGACAATGCAGACTGCAGAATCCGCACGCGTCTGCAGGACAGCGCCCAGCCAGCGCGGCCAGCGCGAGCAGAAAGTCGCGCCGCGCAGCCGGAGACCAGCCAGCGCAGAAGCCACGGGTAGAACTGGCGCGTGTAGAAACTATAACCGCCGACCGCTGTCTAGGGCCTCTGGATCTTGCGCTAACCGGCAGGTAAACGCGCTATAGCTCCACAGATGAATTTATATTGCAAAACATAGTGAAGCAAGCGGTTTCTGAAAACGAAATAAACAGAAACTTAATATATGACCGCATGACCGTGCACCAAGCAAACAAATACACAGACGCAGCAAAAGAAAATATACCTAAAATAATCAGCATGTACCAAATCAGCATTCGCCATTTGCCAAATACCAAACACTTCAAAGTACATGTCACTCACCTACACGGTGCGCCCTCAAAGCCCTCAAAGTCGTACGGCTAGAGCAACCATGGTGACCAAAAAACCCAAATCGGCATGGCTCCCGCCGCCGTCACCGATAGACCAAGAATGCCTCGAATCCCTCCTTCTACGACCGCCCCTCCGCCGACCCGGAAGCCGACGTGGCGGGTAGGCGGGGCGCCGGTCACGTGACCGTGAAGGTTAGCACTTAAACTAAAATGCTAACAACAAATAACAGCGAAACACAATACAAAATTAATTTATAAACCGATACAAAAATTAAACCAAATGACACAAAGCACCCAAGCAGAAAATAAACATCGATAAATCGATAGCGCTATTCGAATACCGAAACAACACCGCCATCTCGTAAGTGTTCCGGTAACCTAAAGTTACTAGCAGGAGCTCATCAAAAACAGCGCCTACATGCGGTTTCGAACACGCCTGTTAGGTGGCTTCTGATGCTCGTCGAGGTCGGAATTTCCAAATACGCGTGGTGCGTCGGGCCGCGCGCTCTGACTTCGGCCAAGAAAAATGCGTCAGCTGATCATTGTCATTTCTGCCACTTGCGTGTGGTGAAATGGGGTCATAACTTATAAGACGGCTTTTTCATATCAATTATTTTACATAAAATCATATTTCAAACCATAAATAATGTTCGACAGCCAAATAAAAGAAACAATACCAATACGGGCTTACAGTTTAAGGCTCGACATTGTGTTGTCTACAATTAGACAGCTGATAACTCATTCCCGTACGTCGTATGGTCGTAACACTATAATGACCTTTGCTTATTGTCACAAGTGCGCCGCATTCGCGATTGTTGCCCGACGCCTGTTTGCAGGTGAGCCCACTACAGTTGTTATACATATCTAAAAACCGAAAAACTTTTAGGCGAAAAAGGCACTATTCCAGGCCCATTTTTGATTTTTTTTTGCGATATTAGGTAAAAACAGAAGCTTCTTATCCTAGGAAAAATAAAATGGGAAATCTTTCAAAGGTGGCACACTACCTTTAATAGGTATATTACACTACGCATTCGCGATGGTCTACAGTGATAAAATTGTGGTAAATGGATTTTCTCCTCAGTCATCTTCTTTTATTCCAACCCTTATTTCTCACTGCCGTTTGGCTGAGGCACCTTGAGGCTTGATGCAGAACGAGAATGCCCATGTCGTGTGGCACACCTTTGATGAGCGTCTGTCCCAGCCAGCATCTGTTAGCAGTGGCTAGGTGGCTGTGCATTAGCAGACCCCTCTGTCAAGCTGACGGCTTAGAAACTAGCAGGAGGTTGAGTGTGCATCCTACGATGGGTAGCTGCTCATCTATGTGGCTCTGTGACACAGGATCAGATCAGCCTGAGAGAGAAGAAAGCCAGTCAAAGCAGTTAGTAATGGGATGTTGCCAGACTGGCAAAATAGAAAGTACTATGCCACAAGATACAAAATCAATTTAAAGTTTTGTTGGGTTGGGCTCTTTCAAGTTTTGGCCCAAAAAGACTACAGAGTTGGAGGAATGATAGGAATTAGGGGGAGCTATTGGTATGGGCAAGCACCCTGGTACAAGTCATTGGGGCTGAGCCCATCCAGTGGACAGGGCACCCAGCCCCTGACACTGCACCTGGCTCCGTGTATGCTCCTAGGGGAGCTTCCCACATGGTATGAAAGTGTCTGCCCAGCCCAGAACAGGGGGTTGAGGCATAGAGAAGGATTTCTGGTATTCATATAGCAGGCATCTCACATGCTGCCACCCATTTGTGAAGTTGCTAGACTCTTCAGTTCTTGAGACATTTACATAAAATTCGCTTTTAAATCTAATCAAATACCTACCTAGTCTAAGAGAACAAAACATTATCTAACCTGACCTAACCTTACCTACTAAACTACAACTTACGGTTTATGGTAAAGCTGGCGTCACTGTCAGTTGGTAGGGTGTAGGGTATAGGTTCAGGTTAGCATGTTAATAGCCAATAGGTAAGGTTAGGTAAGGTAAGATTGTTTTTAAATTTCAGCTTCCTTTTATCTACACAATTACTGGCTAGCGCTGAGGGTGACTCCAGCTTTATTGACACCCCATCAAGTCCGTCACCAGGGTGGTGTTTCACCGGTGATAGCAGCACGCTGCTATTCTGCTGACGTCACACTTGTGGTTGTGTTGGAGCAATGTGAATGGGGCTTGTTGATGTCTCCATGGAAACCTAATTTGACACATGTAATAGCAGTGTGCTGCTATCACTATCACCGGTGAAACACCACCCAGGCCAAACTCGCACCACGCTACACTAAATCTGCGCTGCACCAAGCCAAATCCGCAACGCACCAAACCCACGCCAGCTGAACAACCCCATGATGACAACATCTCGTCGAAATTGCCATGCTTCGTCAACTGGCCGTTGGGGTAGAGCAGACTACATACTTGGTAGGATAATTGGTATTAGTATATATTAGGTCCGAGTGGACAATTGTGACGCTGTTGATACAAATATGTAACAGCAAAAAATTTAGGTTTTAGGTTAGGTTAGGTTGTAGGTTTGTAGGTTTTAGGTTTTAGGTTTTAGGTTGTAGGTTTGTAGGTTAGGATAGGTTAGGTTGTAGGTTTGTAGGTTGTAGGTTGGTAGGTTGTAGGTAAATAGGTAAGGTTAGGTCAGGTTTGATTATGTTTTTCTTTTATTTCCAGGACATATAAGTATCATTTTTGGATTCAGGATGTCAAATAATGTAAGAATATGAAAACTTTATCTTTTCACAGACACTCGGACTTAATGTATACTTTTACCGGATGATTACCACAACTACAAGACAAATCATTCAAAACATCAACTACCTTTGGCCTTAGCCTAGTTACCTTTTACCAATTTTGATTTGAATCTCAACTGAACCACAGAATTCAGAAAAGGATCTAAAACACAAAATCACCCAGCCTGGTGCTCGCACAGGCAAAATCTCAGGAAAAAAAATAAGTTTTAAAAACAAGGTACCAAACCAACACCTACCTTCCATTATTTACAGTCACAGTGCCTTCCATCTTTACCTTACAAAATCAAATCAAATAACAGACCCCATTATAGAGTTCAGTGTAACAGACAAAACAAACAACAACCGATGACAAAATTAAAACAAAGTTGTTCTCCATCAGCAAACGAAATGCCGTTCAACCAATCGAATGCAAAGACACGCGTCTGCTAGCGACAAAGGTATATTAGCAGCATTTACAGAACAGTGGACAAAGCACAACTGAGGGTGGTCTGCGGTTTTCAATACCGAAATTCGTAAATTTCCCAAGTTCATCTTGTTTTATGACTCATCAAAAGATAGAGAATTCTTTTATGTTGATTATTCAGCTTGAACCAGACACCGACATTGTCTTGTTTTTTAGTAATATTCCATTAATTGTCATAGTGTTACCTTCAGCAGAATGGAAGATCATTCATTCTAGACCAAAAAAAATATACCTTACATCTTCGAAACTGCAATGAGATATGCTGAATTTTAAAGAAAATTGAATTCTCATTTTGATATAGATGTTTTAAGAGCATATGCCTAACAAGTTTACCAAATAGAGATGTTTTTGTTCAGGAGTAATCGGTTCCAAAAAATATAAGTTCGAGATTCGTAAATACATTTCCAAAATTTTCCAAGATCATAGCGCTTCAACATTTTGATAGGCAGTAGCGTTAACAATTTTGTAAATTTTGGTAAATGTTTTAGACACCGACATAGTCTAGTTTTGGAAAAATATTACATTTAGTGGAACAGGGTGACCAAGGACACCAATGGCGGTGGTGCATTCAACATCAACTAAATGCAGTTCCAACGCTTAAAAAGCAACAAAACTCACATAATCTGAAAGAAAATTTAATTTTGATATTTATTGACCATGATTGAAGCCCCACATCACTGAAATTACTCGACAATTCAGGGTAGAGCAGGTCCGGTATGCTGAACAGCTCAGAACCATGATAATTTCGAAATTGAATGAAAGAGTGTCGGCCTTTGATCTTACTTTTTGTCCTTCAATTTCAATTTTTGATTGTGAAAAAATAATTTTGTCCATGAGCAATCTTTGCGTTTTAAGATATATAATTTTTGAAATGGCGGAGATAGCCAACAATTTATTTTCGTTAATGCTTCACAGGTTCATACATGACGTGCCCTGTGATCATAAATCAAAAATATATATACAAATAATAAAACTCATCGAAATTTGTTGCATAGTTCTCTTTTTTAGACTTAAAAGGTCAGCTGAAAATAGTGGTCAAAATACCTTAGTGTTGTAATTTCGAACCGGTTTTACCTAGTTCTCTATATACCGTGGGGGAATCATGTACTTTTTGAACACTCGACCATACACATAGTCTTTTGTGAAACTTGGTAGGTATGTAGGTAGGTAGGTAGGTACCACATAACTTGAAATTACTTGACGTAATGACATGATGTGGAAAGTGAAAATGATACCTAGGTATTGATGGAAATTTATGGACTTAGGTACGCTACAAGAAGATTGAATTGGTCAACCAATTCAAATTCAATCTACTTGTGGAGTAAGTCTATAGATTTTCATCAATAGTTACCACTTACCATTGAAGTTACTTGCTATCATGTTGATTTTATACATAAGAACCTCATTCATTTTATTTGTATGACATGTTTGAATGCAATTTTCTCAATAAGTGAAGAAAAATGTTGGTAGTGCTCAACAACACATTGGTAGTGCTCAGCTGAACATTGGTAGTGCTCGGGCACTCCCAGGCCTATACAAAACGACGCCCCTGCACATAGGCAATGGTGACTTTAGTATAGGCATCCTAGGCATCCTCCACACCTGCAAAGATGAGGCATATCTAAGGATCACAGAGTCTATCGAAATCAGGAACCGAAATCCAGCTCTTCATAACAAAAGTACTTTGCCTTGGCGTCTGCTAAACCCTGTACCATACTTATCCTATACACGTACACACTAACTGTCTGGTCTACACCACATTATTGAATAATTGTTTAGTTGTATCATTATATAATTGTATGATTGTATAATTCCACGCAATTGTATAATTGTGCTGAATTTTTATTTTTAAAATCGCTGCACATTTATCAACATCTTTCCTGATGTAAAGCTCTGAGATATTTTGTCACGCCTGTTATTATATATTAACCCTCGCCCGTATTGGTGTTTTTCCAGCCGCGAACGTATAAGGGGGGGGGGGTCCGTTGGACCCCCCCCTTGCCGTTTCGCCCCTGATCGAGCTAGAGCTTCGCGGAAAAAACGAGCGTGTTGCCCGTGACGAGAGGAAGCCGATGATACCCAATTTTAAGGTCCTAGGTCATCGGTTGACCTTCCAGGTCAGGTCAATGACCCAAAAGTCGGGGAAATCGGGACCTGTTAGAAAGTCGTAAAGCGTGGCTGC